AAAAAAGATTAGGGAGGAAAGAAAGTAAAAAATAGAAGAAAAAAAAAATAGAAGAAAGACTAAAAATGGGAAATAGGAAAAACTTTAAAGAACAAAGTAAAATACCAAAACAATAACAACAAAACAGAAGCCAGAAGAAAAAAAAAAAATGCTATTAAATCAAACAAAAAAACCAAGATACTGCAAGCCAGTTCAAAGAAACAAGCAAAGAAATAACAATAAAATCATTACCAAACATAAACAAAACCCAAATTCCAAACAAAACAACAACCCTAAAACCAAAAAAACCCTTTCATACACATTTTTACAGCATTGACCCAAACTGTATCCACACAGCTCCCTCTGCATTGGAGTCACAGTCTGACTGTGTGCAGCCAAGCAGCTTTCCACTATGGACCCAAAACAGGCCTGCTGCTTCCTCCAGGCCAGTGTTGTCCTGGTTGCAAGTGTGCTCTGGGTATGAGCAACTGCAGGCCTCCTCAGTGATCTCAAGATCCAACTGCCTCAGTTAATTTGGGGAAAGCAAATATCATGTAGGTTGCCCTACTCCCAGGTCTCAAGTTTTCTCTCAATTTCTACCAGAGAACTCATTCCCTTGCCTCCTTTACTGCCTGGAAAATTATTTATTTTCTTGTACCAGACCCTACGTTTCACTCTGGCCTTAGTGTACTTGGTTTTCTCCAGTGACTGTCTCCAAATTGGAGAAAACCATATATTTATATCTATATATCTATCTCCCAATGGCTTTAATTCTTTTTTTTTTTTTTTTTGCGGAACTGGGGATTGAACTCAGGCCCTTGTGCTTGCCAGGGAAGCGCTTATTCCACTGAGTCATCTCCCCGGTCCCCCCAATGGCTTTAATTCTTGAAGAACTTGCCAAACTACACTTGATGCTAGTTTTTTTTTTTTTTAAGGGCTTGAAGTCAGGACCTTGAGCTTGCTAGGCATGTGCTCATACCATAGAGCTATCTTCCTGGCCCTAGATTTTAAAAACAACAACAAAAATCCAATAGCTATTCAGCATTTCTGCAACTCTACTATTTAAAGACATGTAAGATAAAGGCTTATGGCAAAGAACGTGTGTGTGGGTAAAAATGAATGGAAATCAGTTATTGAAAAAAAGGATACAGGTAAAATGAATAAAATAAGTAAGACTAATAAGGCATGTAATGAGAACCACAATTTTTTCCCCTAGCTCCAGAGTGACTGCTGACATACGTACCTTCTCCACATGGCAATGAATGATTGTGCTGACACAAATCCTGTCTTTTCTCCTCCTGCAGCCCTAAACATGGGGGCTTTCCAATAGAGAGGACAGCCACAGATCTGCAAATAAAAAGTAAAACAGTTAGTCAAAAGTCAATGAAGAGATGGCACAGCCAAAGAAGAGATCTTTATGGCTTTGACCCTTCATGCCACAGTAGACAGAAGAGTCCTTAGGGGAATACAGCTGGGGTTGGGGCAAATATATCAAGTAGGGTAGGCTGAAGGGTGGAAGACTGACAGATGGGAAATAAAATTTTGTGAAGAAAATGTAAAGCTATTTAACTTTTTCCCATGTTTGTATATAGTTATATTCTCAGACTTGATAGTTAAGAAAGCAGCCTCCCTTTCTGCTGCCTTTATATCATATATTTTCTACCCTTTAGGGAAAAACAGACGTGACTGAGTATCATGGTTGTATATGTCATTCCTTGAGCAGAAAAAGTCACCTTTATTATTGGGTCACATGGTATTAAAAACTTTACTGCCTATTCTCTTCTTCTTTTGTCTAGTATAAATCCTAGATTCAAAAAAGGATTAAAAATTCTAGTCTGAAAAAAAAATTCTAGTCTGTTAAAACAGCTATCAAATCTATTAAATGGTTATAATTTTAGTAAATGAAAGGTACAATAAAAATGCTGTAATTTACATATTAGAAGTCATTCATTTATATCTTAGAAGCTACCCCAAGTAACTACATATTATAAAAGCATTAAGTAGGATCTGGGGTAAATGTTAAAAAAATTTAAAATACCCTAAAAAGTACTGACTTTTTAAAAATCGCCTTAATAAAAGAATCTTATTATTATTTTTTAAAGAAACTTATTATTATCTTCTAATAAAAGAAGATTCTTTTCAATTAGAATTGTCTTACTTTTGTAAGAAAGAGTTCTTTACTGGCTTTTCTCTAAAGGGAAAATTATTTTTTATAATAATATTTGACTATTAGAAAATAATTAGTCTTGAAATCTTCCTAATTTTTTACATACATGGAAAATAAAGAATTTGAAATCGGGGCCGGGGAGATGGCTCAGTGGAATAAGTTCTTCCCTGGCAAGCGCAAGGGCCTGAGTTCAATCCCTGGCTCTGAAAAAAAAAAAAAAAAAGAGTTTGAAATCTAGAACTCTTTAAAGTGACAACTAGACTCTGCTGAGTCGTTATCCTTCTACAGAAGGTGACTCTCCTCTGGTGGGGAACTAGATGCGTATCAGCCTTAGGGTTAGGTGAGCTGCTCCTGCTGGGAGGCTGCAGCGCACAGAGGATGCCCAGAGGAGTCTGCGTATTACCTCATTTGACTTTAGTTATCCCAAGAGACTGCTCAAGGCTGTGGCTGGTTCATGCCAAAGGTGAAGATACAGAAAGGAAAATGCAAGCCATGGGAGGTGAGGAAAGGGAAGAAATAAGAGGCTGCTGCCACCATGTCCAAGAAATTATGTTCCATAAGCAGAGTAGAATTTAAGATTTCTTAAGTCCAGAGGTTGAGTATCTCCACTGAGATTTAAAAAATGAGGGAATGGTATTGCTTAACAACCATCTGATTTTATTTATTGTATAAATCATGATCACGGAAGTACAAAGCTCACAGTTCACATACTTTGAGTGTGCAAGTGTCAAATTCAGTTTCCCAATCCTAGTCCCTCCTTTCATGTGGAACAGGTTGCCAAAGAAATGCTTTCCGCTGAAGTGACGGACTGCTGCAGCTTTGGGAAAAGCTAAAACAGTACTCTACACTACAGAGGTGGAAGAAGTGCAAACAGTACAGGGAAAGACAAACTGGCTTGTCAAAGGACCTGAAAATTCTACCAGTAGGATCAGTTATGAATTTTTTAGAATTGTAAAGAATCAGAAGTCAGATACTTTGACTCTGGGAAACAGTCACCAGCCCCAGATGAGACACTCCCAAGGTCTTTCTGCATACTACACAAAGTGGGGGCAACTCCCTAGTAAATAATTTTCAGCCCCTTATATAAGGTATCTGCTTCAAAAGACTCCTTTAACATGTATAAACTTATTATAGACCAAAGGCAAAACCCTAGGCTGTAAGATAGAGTAAATAATAATCTGAAGGCAATAAAATAGAACTTAGGTGAGAACAAACCAGGGTGAAGTTTTTTTTTTTTAAACAAAGGAAGAAAGTGGATGACAAATGTAAATATATAGGGAGATATAGAAAATGAATTTAGCAAACAGATTTAGAGGAAGGAAAAGTCAGGATATGAAGAACGAACTCACTTGAGCTAAGGAAAACTTGACTAAAACCTGTAATTTGATCAAAGACTAGCCCTACGACATCGGGGATGTGATAGCAAGGTTTTCAACATGTACACAGAAGATGACTGTCCAATATTCATAATGTCCTTTCACCTTTTTAGGTGTCTTGTGCCTTGATTTCATTTGGTTCTCACATGATCCCCATGCAGAAGAGGGCAGGTATTTTTATTCTATTTTGTAGAGCCGAAGGAGCTCAAGCTTGAAGAGGCTCTGTGTAGGTACTACATTAGTTAGAAGAGATGCAACAGAGGGCTTTACATGGGTCAGAGCTTTCTTTCTCTTCAACATTCTGCTAGAGGATAAAGCTTCATGATGAATCCTTTGGCCCAGTGTCTGACAAATACTTTTCCTGTTACTCAGATTCTGTTTCTACACTGCTTGCATCCTTTTTAGGTTCATTCTCCATTTGTGTTTTCCCCATTAAGTACAAGCTACACACTAAGAACTGAACCAGACATGGGCATTAAAGCTCTCCAAGGCTGTCTGACGTTTAAGATGAATGGGGTAAACTGTACCAAAGATCCTGATTTCATAAACAGTTTGCTCTGCTCTTTAAAAAGAGTCCAGTCTTTATGCATACAGGTTTCAAACTCAAGCTAGTCTTCTGAACAGCTTGATAAACTGTAAGAAACCATAAACACATTCATTTACTGCTCTGATAGTCTCTTGGAACCTTAAAGGCTACCTCCCTTATGCTTTTCCTAAGTCAATATGTTGTAAGCTTGGACAATACATGCTGTAGGTAATACTCACTGTTTCTGATCTCCCTCCCAAAAAAGCAGCATAGTGTAAAAAAATGACTGAAAATAAGGGTGACATAATGAATGCTAAGAGTGTGCTACAAACAAGTAAAAACTAGGTGAAATAAAAATTGGCTAATGGGAAAATGTGACAATCTCAAATGATTTTAAGAATAAAGTGGCAAAATCATAAAATAAGCTGGTTCAGTAATCAAAAATAAAACACAAAATTTCATGATAGTTTTTTAAATTTTTTTTTGGGGGGAGCATGGTCTTTCTATGTAGTTCAGACTGGCCTTGAAGTCATGGTGTTCCTCCTGATTTAGCCTCCTGAGTGCTGGAATTACAGGCGTGTACCACCACACCAACCCGATGGTACTTTTGAAGGCTGTCATACACATCCTCATTCTTTTTTTTTGCAGAACCAGGGACTGAACTCAGGCCCTTGCGCTTGCCAGGGAAGTGCTTATTCCACTCAGCCATCTCCCCCGCCCCATACATCCTCATTCTTTATTACTATTATTTTTAAATGTTTTTGGTTGTTGCAGGGTCTCACTATGCAGCTCAGACTTGTGGTAATCCTCTTGCTTTCAGCCTCCCCAGTGCTGGGATTACAGGTGTGTGCCACTAGGCCCAGACTATGCCTGGCTCAGCCTGCCCTGGGGGTGGGACTGGCGCAGCATGTGATGCGAGGGATCTAATGCCTGTGCTGGGGATTTAACCATGGTCTTTGTGCTTGCCTAAAATTGCCTAAGCAGGCACATTAGTCTGCTGAGCTATCTCACTGGCCCCATTATTCCTTATTTTTATATGCAAAGCTAGTTTTAACTTTTTAAAGGTATAAGCAGTTTACCTTGCTACCTCACCTGACAACTGAGGACTAAAAATATGGCTTAGCCTCCATGAATGGAATTTATGGCTATAATCAAGTACAATTTAGGTAAGTCACTCAGTCATATATACGTAAAATGGTTATTGTGCTACATGATTATTACATATTAAATAATAAAGTGTTTTGTGAAGGACTATTACTTGGCTGAACAAAATAGTTTTCTTTCTTTTTGCAGTACTGGGGATCAAACACGGGGCCTTGCGCTTGCCAGGCAGGCACTTATGCTGCTAAGCTATATCCCCAGCCCTAGTTTTCTATTTTAACTGGCAAAGTCCTTCCTCTGACTTCCCACTATTCACAGACTCCCTATAGTGACTCTTTCCTACACCTTCTGTGACTACCCTGGAGTGCAGGCTTTGTGCTTTCCTCTTACTGAATCCAGGGAGTACTAGTGAGCCAGGGAGCCATGAAGCAGGGTGGGCCGTGGGTGTGGGGGGAATCAGGAGAATGTGAGGGCACAAGGAGAATGCACTCCTCATCGAGGGCACATCAGGAGAGAAGAGTGTCAACCTGCGCAAGTAGAACATGATGGTCCTGTTAAATATTAATTGTTCTGGGAGGAGAATTTTATATCAGAGGCAGCTGAATATATAGGAAATTATCAAAGTCTTGCTTCCTAGTGTCACATTTATTTATTTCTGGGTAAAATGACAGTGCTGAGATGGCCTAACAATTCTGTGTCTGGCTTTAGGGTAGAATGGCCAATGAAACAGAACAAAAAAGACTCCTATTCATTATAAGAAAAATTTTCTAATAAACAAAATTATTTAATATGGAACAGACCACCCAGTAAGGGAGTGAGCAGTCAGTCACTAAAAGCATTCAAATAAAGAATGTATTTATGAGTCAGGTGACTGATGTCTTAATTACCTTTGCAATCTTCCCCATTTCATAAATATCTGCTTTCTGATCTTCAATATCCATGAAAGCAGTTTCAATTCTGCTTAGAGTCTGTTCATGGTTACTGCAGGTATCTGGGAGTCCTTCAGGAAAGTAGAACCGTGGAATGTTTATGGACAATGGCACATTATTTACAGCAGGAATAGGAGACTGAGGTTGGGGACTACTTGAAAAGGTGGCTGGAGATTGAAGTGGTGTTCCAGGTTTCTTTTCTGGTTTATTTTGAATCTGGAAGAAAAATGAGATTATCAGACATAGAACTTCTAAACAGTATATATTTCTTTAGCATCCTCACCAGTAATAGGAAGGCATATATAAATATAAGAAACCGCATCTTGGGGCTGGGGAGTTGGCTCAGTGGTATAAGTACCTGCCTGGCAAGCACAAGGTCTTGAGTTCAATCCCTGTGCCACAAAAAAAAAAAAAAAAAAAAAAAAAAGAAACCACATCTTTAGACCGTAGAAATCCAGGGCTAACTTTACCACAGGTCAGTAAGCATGTTTCTGGGGAATCTTCCATATTAAATAAATCAATATATTAATTATTTGCCAATACTTGAGTCTACATGAATTTGTTTAAAAAATCTTGCAATGTATTTTCCCATCAATCACCTGGCAAGCACTTCAGAATAATCAAAGAACAAGGTCAGTTAATACAGTAAATATCTTGAGGTATATGGCTTAGTCTCTTGGAACCGGATTAGTAAATTCCTTTTGAAGAATGTTTCTGGTCTTTCTGTGAATTTCTGCTTCTCCTTCAACTGGCAGAAAAAGTTATATATAATTTATTTGAGAGAGGGAGCTACTTTTATTTTCCTCTCTAGCTGAGATTTGCCAAGGTGGAATAATTGCTGTTTCAGTTCAAGATGGGAGCAGCATCAAAAAAGAATAACCTGGGTACAGTACTTCAGTTTTTTACTTCTGTCTGTTGCTATGAACACAGAATCATTTAGATATTTAATCTGTGTAGCATCCTTATAGTACTACGTCACTGAAGTATTTCTAGTATTTAAGCATTTTTGACCAGAGATAGAGAGAGAGACAGAGAGAGAGACAGAGAAAGAGACAGAGAGACAGA